TCTAACTAAAAAGATTAGGAAAGAAAGAAAACGCGAATTGAACAACGACGAAGACGGAAAGAACAAAGAAAAAAAAGAAAAAATTGCAAAAAAAAATATGAAAAAAACGAGACTAAACGATTACGAGCTTTGAGAGATTTTCGGTGAGTTTGCGAGCAGTGGTACTAGTACTCGTCGCGAGAGAAAATAAATCTAATGGCTAACGAGTTTTTACCAAGCTACGCGTTGAGGGCAATTAAGAAAAGGAGGTAGAGTAGGGCGAGTTACGTGAGTCAGAGAAGAAGGGTCTCATTTTTTTTCTCTTTCTCTCTTTTTCTGTTTGTCCGTGTTTTCCCAAGGAACAGGGAGAATCTACCGTGTTACACGACATTCAACCTTTGTACTGCTAAACTACGGATAAATACGAAGGTTCCGTGACAGTAGACGAGAATCGTGGAAAAAGAAATAAAACAGCTATTGGACCGAACAAAGGGATGACTTACTTTTTTTTTTTTAATCTTTTTTCTTGTTATTTTTTATTATTCCGTCGATAAGTTTTTTGTCGTAGTATCTCGCATGCGCAAAAAAGTTAACATGTTTCTTCACGAAAGAAATGTTGTATCGTCGTTTCTATTGAGTTCTTAAATTTTTATCTTATTTTCAGACATCGTCTTTTATGCCGTTTCTCGATAGATATTTTGCAATATGTCTTCGTCCGGCACACTTAGTACCCTATTGGATACTTGCCCGCAATGTAAAAATAACAACAAAAATGCACGTCGTTGAGTTTATTTTGATCTCGTCCTGGTTCTTCGAGCGTTAACGGATACGCTCGTCGGCGTTCTTCTTTCGCGTAATCGCTTCGATAACTTTCGAATATATGTATACACATAAGAGTGAATTTAAAGAAAACAATATAATACAACGGACGATCGAAAAAGAAACAAAAACACATTTTCTAAATATATTAATACAGTTATAAATCGATCCAATCACGAGGTTCATTTCGAAGGAGGAGATCATCGATCCATGACGGCGTACGTATACATCTACATAAATGCCTATTAACTTACATAAGTCCATATACGTGCAAATGGAGAAACAATGATTGCAATGAAAGAAACGCTCGGATGACTACGCATTTTCTAAGATCCGCCCTTGTCCGATGGAGAGTGGGAGGAAAAGGGGTGAGTATCGAAGAGAACAGAGGAAGGAGGAAGAAAAGTAAAAAGAAAGTGCTGAAGGATGGGGAAGAAGGGTGTGCAGAGGGGGGGATGAGGTACCGTAGACGAGGACTTTCATGCCCGAGTAGTACCGATCCGTACTCTCTATAATACATTTACGCTTCGACCTATTATAATATTATGCTCGGAGTGTATTGTCTTTCCTTTTCTAGGGATAATGTTTCACCGACACGCCAAGTTTCGAGCTACCAACGTAACTCTTTCGTTTCTCTTTCCACGATCATCCCTCTCCCCTCTTCTTTTCCTTAACCTCCTCCACCAACCTTCTCCTTTTCCTCCTCCTTCTCTTCCTCTTCCTGCCATCCCTCACAACAACCCGCCGTTTTCTGTTTCTTTCTCCCTAGTCGATACTTTTATTTCGTTTTATTTTCAAAACGTTAGCTCTGCTTCGATTTCACTGACACTCAACGAGATTGCGGGAAACGAAACACAATCTTGCTTAACGCTCGATATAGGTTTATGTATAATGAGAAAGTATAATCGAGTATATTTCTAATGTGGTTAGAGGTGTTTTAGGTAACTGAAATTGTTTCTGATATAAAGTCATTATTGTATATCTATAGAGTTCATAAAAAATGAAATGTGTTCTCCATTGATTAATATTTTTCTTTTATATGTGATAATTATGATAGGTAATAGATTACCCTTTTTTGTTAATTTTATTTAATATTACATGTTTTTTGTCGAGATTATATATTTCTTTTAATTACGTACATGTAATAATTACTTTCAGCACCTAATTCAAAAAAAGTCTACTTGTAATTTTTTTCTTTTTCAAAGGATTCAACTTGCAATTTATGTTCAGACAGGTCTTTCGTTACGATTTTCTTCGCTTCTTCTTTCATTACCCTTCTTTTTAGTTCGTATACTTTCTTTTTTCTCTCTCTCTCTCTCGTTCTCTCTTTCTTACTTCATTTCTCCGTTTCTTTCTTTTTGAAACTTTCCGTTTCTCTTTTTTTAAACAACGTGAGCCATTAGATATCAGAATCCTCGTCCGACGGAACGAAGTGACTCGAAATAACGAAAACAATTTCAAGAAATCTGCCCCGGCGAAAATTCGATTAGCCGCGGAAGATGGGCTCGAGCTCTCCATTTGTTTCGTTTCGTTTCCTTTCCTTTCGTTTTATTTCCAACGGGTGAATTCTCTGTTTCTGTTGCGTTGGCGGCTTTTAATTACTCCTCCGTACTCTTGCAAGATCTTCTACGTTCGTTCGTTCGTTCGTTCGTCCATTCCTACTTTTTCTTCTTCTTCTACTTCTTATTCTTATTCTTATATTCTTTTTCCTCATCTGAAATCTTTTCTTTTTATTTCATCGACGAAAACGTTTAACTACTTTTAGATGGCACACTTTTTGTACGTTTTCTTGTCTTTGACATACTAACAGTACCACGAATAGGTATGTATTATCTTCAGAAGAAGGAAGAAAACGATAAAGCCGTCTAGCTTGATCGTGAAAAGAAAAACAAAAACAAAAAATAAGAAAAAGAAAGAAATTGATGTTGGAAAGAGAAGGGAAAAAGTGGAATTATATTTTACGCGCATCACGCTGCGAGCATCCTACTCGAACAATGACGGAACATCGTGTCAATGAACAGGATCACAAGAAACACGTTTAGATACTGTTCGTTCGCGCTACACGTCGAAGTAATCCTACCGAGAAGACCTTACCAGGAAGAACGAGAACTCGTCGTCTTATACTAGAGTTTTCTATCTATATTGTGCACAACAACGGATAATAAAAAAAGAGACAGATATAAAAAAATAAGCAGCTTGTAATAGCCCTTTAATAGGGGGATACTTTCGTATAGCTTTATTTTCCTTCTCGTATACTTTCCTGTTTTACCCTTTTTTCAGGGTAAAAAAAGGAATGAAAGAATGAAAGAAAAAAAGGAAAACAGGATAGGCGGATGGGTGGGTTCGCTGACGCGACGTTACCGGAGATTTATCGAGGCCGTGCCTGAAGGGACTAGGTGGGATCACCACTCGAGCCTTAACCGTGGATTAGCTTTCAATTAGAGCATCCCGATGAGAGCTGGGCGTTAAAAGAAGAATATTTATTGGCGTGGGAAGACCCGACGTACGAGAGGATTAAAGTCTAGGAAAATTCGTTTAATACTACTGGAGTCTGACGCGTACCATTTTTTGCTAAAATTAAGATGTTTTATAGTTTCGAATAAAAATCATAAAAAATATCAAGAAAATTAGATACATGTAAACTAAACGATAAGCACGTATTTGATCTAAACTCTCTCGTATCGCTCTTGGTCGTGTTTTCTTATCTGAAGAATGATGAATAATAACAAAGAGAGAAAAAAAGAAAAACAGGATTTGTCGAACAACAGGATTCGATCAACGTAGGAAAAGTGGTCTTATCTTGGTGGTAGCAATAACGATCCGGTTGTGAACGCGTCGTCTATAAATAGAATGAGAGAAAGAGAGATAGACTGTTAGGAGCCCCGATGTAATTGGTATCGGCAAAAAGCTTCACCGTAGAACAGCACTACTCCTCTTCGCGACGGAAGATGAAGAGAAGAAGAGAAGGCATAGACTTCCCTCCCCCCCTAAACTCTTCCTCGCGTATTCTCAACAGATGCCTTCCCACGTTTTTTCGACGAGACATGTGCCCGACGCGCGCGTTCAAAGGGTTGAGAAAGTTGCTTGGTTGCTTGCTTACTTGCTAGTCCGTTCGTTGTGGTTCTCTCTTTCAAGTGAAAGAGAGATCGGCCTCGCGTTTTTTATTAGGAATCCTTGCGAAAGGGCTCTATTCGATCGATCGTGTTCGCGAACACATTTCCCGTATAAGAGAGAGAGAAAGAGACAGAAGGAGGGAGGAAGAGGGAGAAAAAGACGGATACAAATAAAGACTGATCCAACGGTTAGGGTAAATTGAACGTTCCTTCTTCCTCCTTACGAAAAGAACGAGAACTCCCTTCACCGTCTTTACGATGCATTTCATCCAACCCTTTCGCGAAAGGGCGTCGAAGGGTAGAAACTTGATGTGGTTTTTTGTTTCCTATTTTTTTTCCTTATCTCGTCTCTTTTCTCTTCCTCTCTTTCTCTCTCTTTTTCTTTCTCTTTCGATAGTACACAGACCCTTCGGCGATGTAACCGTTATAATTTCAAACGTTTTACCATTAACAGGCTAATAAATAACTTATATTATACTGGATAAGAAGATTCATTCTAAACTGTTTAAGCATTTTTCCCGATGAATATATTTATTATAAATTTATTTGAATTATATTTGAAGCTTTATGTAAGATACCGGTATCAAAGCGAAGCGAAGCATCTTTAGATACAGTAAAAGCGAGAACTATTCAAAGCTACAGAAGAGATTTCTATATCAGCGGACAGATGCCTAAATAATAGTCGAGATTGTAAAGATCGATGTAAGGTGATCGAATCTATTTTAATCCAATTGTAATTATGATAAAGGGACTAATTATTCGATCTAAGAAAAGACCCTATAATCACGTGAAAATTCAATGCAAGCGTGACCCACCACCGTGTATGCGTAATATGCGTGCGTGCGTAACTAGTTTTCTCAAATAATAGAAAAGACTATGGCAGATAGAAGAAATGTTAAAAAATCAGATTGATCGAATAAGATAGAGTTAGACGAAATATAGGTAAAGAGAAGAGATCATCGTTCGTTACGAGTTCACGCGTATAACGATCGACCTTCGTCTTTCTCGAATCCATGGGCAGCGGCCCCAGCCCATTATCTCTTTAACATAGCGATAATGCGTGTGTTGGACGTCGGATTTGGTACATACATGACTGACCTTCGACGTATGGGTACGGAGGCTGGACTCCGTGGCGAAGCCCTTGCCGCAGATGTTGCAGTGGAACGGTCGGTTCTTCGCCCTTTCCACCTGGGCATCGTGATTCCGAAGATGTTGTTGAAGGTTCGATAGTTGGATGAAAGCCCGTCCACAGTCCGGTAAATGGCACTTGTACGGTCGTTCACCTGTAAAACAAATTTGAATTTCTACTTTAAATATTTATTCTTTTCTATTTCATTCATTTTATTATATCGAGTATTTTATTCTTTTTGTTGCATTGAATTGATGTCGATATAGTTTGATAGTTCTCTGAAAAACTTTAGTTATTTAGATATCATGATTTAATATCTTATCTAAAGAATCTTTTTGAATCGTATTGACATTGATAAATTTTTATATATTCTCTAGAGAATGATAGTATTTTGGTATCATTTACAAACATTTTATCCTAGAAATTAATCGCGTTGAATCGTATTAACATTGATAAATTTATTTTAAAATGTTCTAAAAAAGTTTCATACTTAGATATCATTTTGAAATATTTCATTTGAGAAATTAATTGTTTATTAGTAAAACCTTAAAAAAGGAATCTTTAAATATATATAATGTGCTAAAATTGGATGGCTTAAAACATGTGCCTCGAAATTATCATCCTACGGGCGATTAGCAAAGGAAAGAAGAAAGTGAATCGTTGATGTGCCATGCGAGAAGGGATTGAAAGCACTCGAGCGAATCATCTAAGCATTTGACGTAACGAGCTGTAGGTCGAATTTAAGCTCGCGACAGACCGACCGAATCGAAAATGTTTCGGGTATTTGCTTATCGATAGTAGTCACGTTCGAGAGAACGAATTTCGATGAGATTGCATGGGATAGATGATACATGCGATAGACAGCTCGTCGATGAGCGCTTTTCACGCATCGTATCGTCGATTAAATAGACTTTACGTATATGTTCCTAATAGATATATAAAGTGTAGCAAATAATTTGATGCATTTTTAACAAACATAGCATTTATTTGTAAAGTAATCATACATCTATTAACCTTCGAAATAGTCTTCATTATTTTCAATGACTTTGGTCTATCGTTCAGTTAACTGTTAAATTACTTGATAAAAAAATATTGCAATTTTGATACAATAAATTTAATATTAACGCACTGAATTAATTGCTACACCTAATATTAGTTATCATTAAAGTGTATAATTCAATTAATTCAGATAATGTATATCCGAAATAAAAAGACATATCACGTTTCTTCGTTCACTTAATTAATGCAGAAAGATGGAGAGAGATAGAGATCGATAAATAGAGAGAAAGGGAGAGAGACAATCTCACCTATATTTTTATTTCTCATATTTTTATTCATTAAGCTTTAGCAACGCAATTTATATATTGCGATAAAGTACCATCTCGATGAGGGTGTTATAATGTGTGCTCGTAATTTACGCCGAGCAAAAAAAAAAGACACGTGTAAATATGGGTGTGTGTGTACGGAATAGTAAACCGTGAAAATAAATTCAGACATTAAATCGTCCTATCAGTACACCTCCTGTTTTTTTTCCACCAGCATGCAACAGGTATCAGCATCCACGTCTATCGGCGAGGAAAGGAAAAGTTTTGTCTCCCGTTTGGCATTCCACCGTTTAAATCGAGTGCCTGTGATTTTTTTTCTCTCATTTCTCGTACATTGAACGATTCGTGTTTTTTTTTTGTCATTCTTTCGTATGATCGTTACAAACGACGATATATCTTATCGAAAAAAATCATTTGTTACGCTTTCGTTACCATTCTTTCATAAAACGGCATTATCGCGCATTCGTGATCGATGAAGCGAATAAGCGTGATCGACTTAATTTCTGCTTCATTTTTTTTTTCATCGATTAAATTCCTTCACATTTATTTCTAAAGCAAAATGCGTTAGTGAGAAAAATTGCAGTTCTATATATCAAAAATGTAAAACATTGAACTACTTTTATACGAAACATACGCCTTGTGTTTTTTATTTCTTTTAAATAAATAAGTAATATATATTTAAATGTGAACACAACTTTTTTAGTTCATTGGTTTTGCATTTAAATATTTTCAATTAAAAAAAAAAAATATATATATATATATATATATATATATAGAAAATCTTGATAATTTTATCATCTGTCAATCAGTTGACATTAAAAAGTTAGTTTTATTTTGGCTAGCCAATTTTTCTCTTATTTTCTTTCGAAAAGCCTTTATTCTAATTCCCACGAACAATTGGCTGAATTGAACTTTTATTAATATCGACATTCTTCTCCGAGCTTTTTCACCCCAGGCACTCGATCGTTTTTGCTCTTCACTCGCTATCATCTCTCCTCATCGTTCATCACTCTGTCTCTGTCTGACACGTGCGCGCTTTTACAGCGAGGATTCATCTTTTATTCAGTCGCGTGATTCATCGAAGAATTCCATTATATCTAATTTAATAAAAATAACCGTAGTAAAGGCGCAGGGAGATACTTGTTCGATTTTTTCATCTTTTTAATTTTAATCTTTATTTCTTTTTTTTTCGTCCAGACCTTTTAAACATTTTTCGAAGAGAGATAGAGAGAAAAAAAGAGAGATGTAAATCTCTCTTAATTTATATATATATATATATATAAATTAAATTGTAAAAATCGTTAATTTATGAAATTATTATACTGTTAGGTATGGAATTGAAATTTGATCTGTAGATTAGATTTAATAGAACAACGCGATTAACACCACATTAGTTTTTATGGTACAAAAAGAAATAAGAACGAATAATTACGAGTAAAAAGATAAAGAGACCTTTAAAACAGATCAAATTTCAATCTCATACTTTAACTACTTGTGAGTATACATATATAACTTCGTCACTTTCTAAAACTACAAGTATTAGTAAATAATAAGATTTTTTTGATATGTTTTCCCAAAAACCTCTATTTATTTAGGATAAGACTTAGTGATTCCACGATTTAACTAAATTAAATAATTTAATACTAGGCATATACTCCTAACACATATATGTATATCACTCGCCAACAGTACATACATTCGCACATATAATCACATTATCGCACATTATCATATATCATTTGCATAGCAATAAAACACCCATCCGTAAATGCTAAATAAATGTTTAATATAAATAAAAATAAGACTAATAAAATAAATACGCAAACAGCTACGAAATATATTCGACGGACTCCGAATGTACACGAAGGTCAATGTATTTTAAAATTCGATGAGAAGATTTTAGAGTGAAAACGACAATAGTCGAATGTAAACACACCGGCTGAGAAGTGAGATATATTTATACATATAAACAAAACATTAAATGACCGAGAAACCGTTCTTTCGATAAGCTTAACCTTTACTCATCCCTTCTCTTCTTAGTCATCATTCTTCTCTGCTTTCAACGAGACGTGTTTAGGAGTGTTCCTGTATTACGTAAGTATTATACATTTTTCTACCTCATTTATCTTCTCATTAACATTAGATACAATTTTTTTATATTCTCTTTTTTAACGATCTTCTAATGAATAATATTTCGATAACTAATCGCGTTAGATTTATTTCGTAATTTATACGATGTTCATATAAAAATATATATGCATATATGTGTATATCACTCGCAAGCAGTACATATAATCATATCCATATGCATGTTATTTATATAGCAATAAAACGCATAAGTATACTCTAAGTAAATTTTATATTTTTCTAATATCATTTATATATCTCTCTACGTTCTATGAAAACTGACAATGAGTATGAAATCAGTACAATGAATGGACGGATGTTGAACAACCTTTTTGTTGGAAATAGTGATAATCACGATCGATGTAAATCAATGAAAATTAAATGCGAGAACAATCTAAAAGCAGTGATCGATTATCATGCATATCAAGTATATTATTTTGTGCTTTAAGATGAACTACTTCAAAAGTCACTCTCTTCTGTTCCTGTGTAATTATATTTTACGATTATATATTAATGACTGCAGTCATTTACATATACATAACTATTCTTACTTCTATCGCTCACCGGTACCTATACAAATTCTAACAATAAGTCATTTTATATACACTTGGTATCTATTCATAAGTTGCATTTTCGAATTATTGACAATAAGAAAATTTTCCCGAAAAAGACTGATCGTTTATATACTTTTAGTAAGAACCTCAGTTAGTTGATGTGTTTCATTATTATCAAAATGTATTTCTTGCTGGAGAGAGAGTTTTTGAAATGATCTCATCATAGTGAAAACAGATTTTCTGCTAGTTGTGCTGTTATATCAACTTTAATTAACCCTCTAAGCGTCAAAGTTTTCAGGAATCTACATACGTGTGAACAATAGTAAAGGTACAGATAATCAAATTGAAATTTATCGTGTAGTGTAATGATATAGTGTTTAGTTACTCAGTGTGTTTTCATCTCTCTCTCTCCCTCAATTGTTTCATAAACCAATGCTGTATGTCAATAAAATCGACAATGCGAGAATTTAATAGAAAAAATCAAACGTTTAAAAATGAAGTGATATCAAGTTTCAGTTTAGAAATATATTATCATCGTATTTTTTAAAGTAATGATGTAATACAATACATATAAATTTTATTAGTTTAGAATGTAAAAAATAATAGGTGAAAAGGGTAGGTTTAGAATTATTTGCACGTTGTAACGTGTTTCGTTCAAAGTCAATAAAAGAATGTTTTTAAAGAACAGAAAAAGAATACGTATATACGAATATGTTTATTTGTATTTAATTTATTTTCGTTTTCATAGTTTTCGAAGAAAATATAATTTTCGCACTAAAAACACATATTTTCTGACTCCGAATTCGCAACAGTGCAGTATAGACAGATATTGAAACGCAATCGAAGAATATTTTTTATATACTTGATCAAATTTCAATTTCATACTTTAATTATTCGCCTTTCGCGAATAGAATGTAATTTTTTCTTCTTTCATACTCTAACTAGTTAGTTCAGTTATTTCACGAATTAACATATTTCACTTTTCAATATGTATTTCATCATATTACAAAGATTGCCTTGCATGATGAGAATTTCGCTTGTTCAAACATAACACGTAATTTGGCTCACCGTGTTTTACCTACCTATATACAAATGTTTAAATTCAAATATATTATATCCGGAAATATAAGCTATATAAATGATGTAGA